TGTGAGGGTTTTTTTTTCCTTTATTGTTTTATTCATGTGACTACTTAATATCAGAGGTTGGTAGAATCCAGAAAAAAAAATGTGGATGAGAAAAACAAAATAATCACACTGGATCAATATGAATGGAGATAATCATAAATGGCAAATAAAGTATCCGGAAGCATGTCTGTGCCCTGAAGTCCTGAGCTTGGGAACTAGGCAGACATTGATTAGCACTAGTCCGTGGCAGTTTGCTATCCCCTGCAGGGTGAGAAGAGGAAAAATAAAACTTGGGGGGTTTGCACCCAGGGTGGGATGCCTCTCACCCTCCTCCTACCTTCCTAATTACCTCTGAGAGGAGGCTAATTAGCCTCTGTCTCTTAGTAGGCCCCAAACAATTGACTGCTGCTTAGCTAAACTTCGACCTGTGGTTCTCAACCTGAGCTGTGGGCATTGCAGCACACCCTGGGGGCTTTAAAAATGGCCTCCTTCACCCCCTCAGAGATTTATCATTTAATTGGTGTAGAGTGTGTGCCAGGAGCCTGTGCCTTTTAACCATCCCCCAGGTGATTTAAATGCACATTGCCCAAGTTGAAAACTCCCAGTTTAGAGTTAGGCCCAATGGCGTGGTCCTAGAGTTCATTTAGCGACTGCCACATCTTACAGGAGTCCCACCTAATCAGAATCGACTTGCAGATAGGTGTGCTCTTCTTAAGCTGAATCAGGTTCACAGAGATGCCATTCTATTGCCTCTCCCAAATCCAATCCTTTCCTGCCACATCTGTTGCCTCTCCTGAAAGACCACAGCAGTACCACAAAGAGATAGAGAGGTACAAGATCAGGGATCACCTTCTCCATCCTCTTCTGCCCTCTCCAAACAGAAAAGGTCATGAAACAAGAAGAGAGCAATTCCTTTTCCAGGAATGTTGCCCAATTGTCCCTGAACCTATCTTCTTCCTCACAGTTTTGTTGCCAGTATATACCCAGGGAAAGGGTTTGCTTCTACTATATCTACACTTCACCTTCCTTAACTCTGCACCAAGGAGACAAAACGTATCATGCAAAATGCACTGCAAGAACATCTCTTTTTGGGTTGACTATCAAGTAGTCAATGAAACTACTTTGGAATAGTAGTTACAATTGGTGAGGAGACCAATCAAGTGAAAGGCAATGAGGTGCTCTAGCCCCTAATTGATTAATTGAATAATGATTTGATTTGATTGGGGGGGTGCACTACTGGGGCTTGAACTCAGAACCTGGGCACTTTCCATTAGCTTTATTTGCTTAAGGCTGGTATGCTACCAACTGAACCAGTTTCACTTGCAGCTTTTTAGTGATCAATCAGAGATAAGAGTCTCATGGTCTTGGGCTGGGAAGGTGATTGAGTGGTAGAGTGCATGTCTTGCATGCATAAGGCCCCGGATTCATTCCTCAGTACCACATAAGCAGAAAGCTAGAAGTGGTGCTGTGGCTCAAGTGGTAGAGTGCTAGCCTTTAGCTGAAGAGCTGAGGGACAGTGCCTAGGCCCAGAGTTCAAGCCGCACAACTGACAGAAAAAAAAAAAAAAGAGTCTCAATGGTCTTTTCCGCCATGGTCACCAGATCTCAGCCTCCTAAATAGCTAGAACTAAAGCATGAGCCATCAGTGTGCCTGGCTTAACCCCTTATTTAAAAGGTGGTCAGCTATACCAACACCATGGAAGTATGTTAGAAATGCAGGCCCCACATACTAATCAGAATTCACACGTGAAAGACCACGGTGATACACATTCTTCTGAGAAGCAATTGTCATGATCAAACACATTACTTTGGTCCCATGTTGTTGCTTTGGAAACATTTGTTTTTTCCTTTTTTTTCCCCTAAGAATTCCTCTCATTCATACACATACCACACACACGCACACACACACACATACGCGCGCACACACACACACACACACACACACACACACACACACACACCACTTTTCTTTCTTTTCAAAAAGCATGGTTGCAATTTTTCCTGCCCTTCTTAAACTACAGGAAACCAAGATGAGCAGGGGACTGGGATCTTGTCCATAACTAAGTCTTTCGTGAGGGTTTTTCCATGGCCCCAGGTGCTCTGGCACAGATGCTTGTGTTTAGTTCCGTTCTGCACCAGCAGTTTTAGCATTTGGGAGGCAAAATTCATTTTTTTTCTATCTCTCTGGATTATGAAAGCCTGGGGGCAAAGGAGGTGAAGACTCCAGCAGCTGGAGGAAATCAGTCTTGGAAGACTCAGGTGTATCAAGAAGGTCAGAACTGATTTTGTTATAAGTTGTGGCATTTTATTTCAGCCTTGGAATCTCTTCCTTTGTATGGAGAAGAGAGAGTTTCTTCAATCAGGCTATGAACAAAGGTGGCCTTTGGTAATTTCACTCCCAAGTCCTTCTATTGAGTTATACTGCAAATGGGGATTGTTTTCTCTGTTTGGAATAATTACTTTCAGAAAGGTTGGGGTAAAACCCTCTCCACTAAGATGTTCAAGGGCTTCTCATACGAATCGCTCTTGTTGAAAAGGGCACTGCAACCTCATTTAACCTAACATCCATGTTAGATTCATTAAGTATAAGATGAACCACTTTCTCAGATCCTCCACGGCCTGACTCCATAACACACCCGTTTTGCTCCTTATTTCAGCATTAAGAATAATTAATTGTGATCCAAAGTCATGAGTTAGAAAGATAAACAAACTGATTAGTATTACAGGACAAAAATTAAAAGCAAGGCCTGTGCCCTCCACAAGTCTCCCCTTTTCCCCACCCAACTCTTCTTAAGGGAACATTTAAAACATAAGCTTTTGTTTCCTCAACGTATGGTGCTCAGGTCAAATGGCCCCTGCGGCACATTTGAAATATTTCCGTCATTTGTGAATGTGTCATTTAACCTGCTGTTTTTCCAAATAGGTATGAAACATGTATTTCTTGCTGAGATAACTTGAAATCAAATAAGCATAATCTCTTTAATTCTTTCTAAATAGTTCCATGTTTTCAGTCTAAACACAATAGAACACAAAGCTTTTAGTGTAAGAAAAATGTATTTTTTTTATGTGTGTGGTGTTGTTGGATTATTTTTCTTCCTGTTTGAAGGAGATTGATTTTAAGAGTATAGTTTACATTTATGAACCAAAGGGACATGTTTCTTTTGGTTTGGAGACACACTAAAGATGGCAGTGTTGCCACCTGGTTAAATGAATGAGTGTGCTTTCATAAGAATGCGGTCATTAAGCAAAGACAAACACTCTTATTTATAATTAACCATCACTCGATAGACTACAGGAGAGTTTGGCTAGGCAGGCAACAAATTGAACACTATTTCCTTATGTAAAATTGGTTCTGGTCCATTGTTTTTATTTATCTGGAATAATAGTACTCACTCAAGTTTGTAATGACACTGTCATGGCTGGTGGGAGTTTGCTTTAGGTATTACATTTATTCTCTGCTCGTCCTTCTTTAAACAGAATCTCCAAGGAGAAAATTTGAATGTGTCTCGGATTTAAGAAGAAAGGAAACAGTAAAAGCTTTTTGTAAAACCCCACTCTGTAGGATGTTATTTTAGACTGTTTCAAGATGTTTAATAATTCTTGTTTGTTTGCTCTTCGCATTGGGTAGTGGATTTAAAAAAAAAAAGCAATTGTCTTCTGCTTTCAGGAGAATTATAAGAGGAGTTGTCATATTCTCTAAGGCTTGGAGTTGTCACAAAGTGTTCTGTTAATTTCCTTTGCTCTTTTATGAGGCAAGCTTACCTAACCTTTTGCCCAAACCAGGAGTATTTATCTAGCTCTCCCCAGTGGTGGTTAAATTTAGCATTTTGGGAGTGTTTGGTTTTCTTTACTACCACTAGAGTATGCTCTAGTGCCACAAGATCCAGAATAGTTTTCTTTAGATAGTAGGAGAGGGGAGTCCAAAACAAGCTGTCCAGAAAAGCAAAGCAAAGTAAAGCAAAGTAAAACAAAACAAAACAAAAGACCCTCCCCCCCCAAAAAAAACCCCCAACCCTCTCCTTCTAACTACAGACATGTTAACTACAGACATGTCCTCTAATGGTCTTGGTAAAGCAGGATTTTCTTAAGCATTTGATTGAGGTAAAACTGGAGACTATCTTTTCAATATTCTTACATGACATTATTGTGAGTTCTTTTTTTTTTTTTCTTTTGTGCTAGTCCTGCAGCTTGAACTTGTGCTTTTACTTACCTTTTTTAGCTCAAAACTGGCACTCTACCATCTGAGCCATGACTCCACATCCAGCTTTTTTTGTTAGTTAACTGAAAATAAGAGTCTCCCAAATTTGTCTGTCTGGGTGGGCTTGAGCCATGATCCTCAGATCTCAGCCTCATGAGTAGTTAGGATTTCAAGTGTGAGCCACTAGTATGCAGCTCGGTGTCCATTTTCCCCCGCTTTGAACTAGCTTCATTCAGCTGTGGTCAGGTGATGAGAAGTATTAGCTCCCAATCACCCACATACTACACTTTCAATCCCTGCCCCCAAAGTTAAAAATCACTGTGTCCCAGCACATGGGCTATCTAGAAGTGGGGTTACTTGGCTAGAATTCACTCTTCTGAAGAGAGAGGATTTCTATAGCAATGGTGTACCTATTATTTTTATCTCTACCATCTTTTAAAAAAAGTAATTCCATTCACCCTCGGAGGGGCTGACTTTTGTCAGTGTCAAGGCATTGTCTGACTTGAGTGTCTACTACCTTTGTCTCAAGTCTGTGACAGCTGTTTCGTTCCATGTTGGATGCTCTAGGCAGTGGTAGATGCAGAATGCCAGCATGTCTACTGGCAGGCATATAGAAGCCAGCACCATGTTCATCTATGTGACGCTAGCACATTTTAGCAGTCCCTTCTCCTCATCCTTCAGTAAGGATAAATCATCATCCCATCTTATTCCTGCCCAAGAATAGGCAGCTCACTGAAACTCTCTGCAGGCACTGAGGCCCTTCAGTTCCCTTCTGTCCCCAGGATCTATAGTCCTTTTGCTTCTAGGCCTTTCAATAGTGTCAGGTGCTTACTTCAGCAGCACATACACTAAAACTGGAAGGATGCAGAGAAGATCAACATGGCCCTTGTGCAAAGATGACATGCAAATCTGTGAAATGTTCCATATTTTTAAAATATACAAGTAAGCACATCCAGAGTCATAGGCACATGTACACAAATATATGAACAGAAGTATGGTATATGCAGGGGAGAATTCAAATAGTGTGACTCCTTAGAACAATGAACTCACAGTCTAGCCAGATAAATACCAGGAATCTGGTACTTGAGATGGGGGAAGAGGGAGGCAGGTGGTCCCAAAGGGTTAGAGGTAGAATGAAGAGAGGAAGAGGAAGTGAATTCAATGCATGTTCTATGAAACTAGGAAAATTGTAAGGATAGTGGGTTGGGGAGGGATGATGAAAGGGATAATACAGTGTAGCTGGAGATGCATTGTCCATACATATTGAATGGAACATATTGAATGGTAACATATTGAATGGCAAACAATCCCTTTATGCAACTACTTAAAGATAATAAAAATAGGAAAGGTTGACATTGTCCATGAAGAAATGTACTCATTAACTGACTTACGGAACTGCAACCCCTCTTTACATGATCTGTATAATAATAATAAAAAATAAAAATTTAAGCCAGGCACCATGGCTCACACCTGTAATCCTAGCTACTCAGGAGGCTGAGATCTGAGGATCACAGTTCAAAGCCAGCCCAGGCAGGAAAGTCCATGAAACTCTTATCTCTAATAAACTACTCAGAAAAAGCTCGCTCAAGTGGTAGAGCACGATCCTTGAGCACAAAGAAGTTCAAAGACAGCATGCAGGCCCTAAGTTCGAGCCCTAGAACCAGCAAAAAAAAAAAAGTAATAAAATTAAAATTTTAATTATAAATAAAAGGTAATAAAAATGTAATATAAAACTACTTTCAGACCCTAACTTCCTCCCCCAGAGTGTCAGTCATATTATTCCAGCAAATTCTGAAACCTGGTCCTCATTTGTCTTCATAATGTCCAAGTTTTCTGCTCAGAATTGAGTGACCACCACCACTCTCATTCTCATAACTTCTTGCCATAAGGTTTCCTAAGACAACTTTCACAAAAGTATGTTGCTGCTTTTGCTGGACATTGGAGGCCCAGCTCAGGAGACAGCTCTGGGCCACCCTGAAGCAGATTGACCCCAGAGAGCCTGTGTGCCAGCCTTCCTTCACTCCTGATGGGCCTAAAGGGACCCATGCAATGTGGTCTTAAAAGGGTAGACAGCTCCCTCCTTGGAAATTTTGACTAATCCTTTTTAAAGACACCACAAATAAAATCAAATTCTGATGGTGGTGTAGGGAGTGGGGAATAATAATTAAAATTCTATATTCTGTGAAATAATGCAGAATCAGGGTGAAGAAAAAAGACAAGTTCAGACATTCAAAGATTCAGATAATACTGAAGAAAGTGTGCCAGGGGGGAAAACCGCCCAGAAGAAAGTGGCAGATTGTTTAAAATGGAGGATCAAAGGAAAATAAAAACACTCTGATAGCCAAAAGTGTTTAAATATAGATATGATGACACATTTATCTTCAGTTTTTCTTCCTCTCCACTACCAAAGTGAGGACCAAAACCTAGCTCTCACCTAGACAACCACTGCCAGTACTACATCTCCTTTACCTGTCTCCTTCTCCACTCTACAACCAGACATAACTTTTAAACATGAACCATTTAGAACCTTTTGAAAGTGTCCTAATGTGTTTAAAGTTGGTGGAATATTCTCTGGCAAAGTAAGATATAATGCCCATTTGAGTTTTGGTTTTACTCTTCTAGATATTTTCTTTTTTCAACCCAAGAAGCTAGTCAAATACATGGTATTTTTTAAAGAAAATTGTAAACAAATACTACTACTACAGCTATCATTATTATTATTATTATTTGACGAAGAGGTTTGAACTCATGATCTCTGCACTTGCGGCTCGTTGCTCTACTACTTGAGCCATACCACCAGTCCTTTTTGGGTTTTCTTAGTTGTGAGTTAGAGCACTGAAAGTCAATATTGTCAGAAAGAAGACAATTCTATTCCCAGCTTTTGTGACATTTGGGTTCCTGAAGAAATGTTGGCTTGTCCAAGAAGGAAAGGAAGGACCTAACAGCTGGGGGTTTGAGAAACAGAAGTAGCTAAACTAAAGCAATTAGGGAGATTATCAGAGATATGGAGCAGTTTCTTAACTGTTTAGAAGCAGGTAGAGACCGAGAGTCACTTATCAGCAACAATTCTGAATAAGGTGCTGGAATGGGGCAAAGGGAACAAGGAAGGTGTTGTACATAGACAGCCATCTCTTCACTCAAGCCTGGCACTGGCGTTCATGATATCTGCCTTTAAAGATCTCATGTGGGGCTTGGAGGCATGGCTCAGTTTGTAGAGCACTAGCCAATGCCTGAAAGCAGCAGGTATGAGTTGAGTCCCAGTCTTGGACCTAAAAAGAAAAAAAAAAAAAGGAAGGAAGGAAGGAAGGAAGGAAGGGAGGGAGGGAGGGAAGAAAAAAGGGAGGGAGGGAGGGAGGGAGGGAAGCTCTCATGTGGATTTATACAGTGGCACCAGTAGAGGATACCAGGTAGACTAAGCCCAGAGTGTTGTGGCTATTGAAGAATGAAGAATTTGACACATGTCACTCCATGAACTACTATGAATATGCTTACTCTCATGTAAGTTCCCTATTGTAAGTTCTAGATTACCCTATTTAACTGTATGTTTACAGTTCTTATCATTACATTTCTTTTGTCATTGTCTTGTATCTCAGATCAAGGTTAGGAGAGTCTTTTCTTAGGGTTGATAGTTTGAATGTAATCTTCACTGAAAACAGTAAAGATTTCCCCTCAGCATCTGTTCTATATCCCCATTACATCTTCTTCAATCATCAACTGATTCTGGAGTACTTATTATGTCCTAGGCACTGGGATATAACCACAGTTCTAGTATTCAATATTCATTTTGTATCTAATAAATCATTTTTTATTATCTTCTTACTGAATGTAAAAAACTTCATTTTCAAGCAGGGCACTGGTGGCTCATGCCTGTAATCCTAGCTACTTAGAAGCTGAGGATTGTGGTTTAAAGCCAGCTCAGGCAGGAAAGTCAGTGAGACTTTTTTTTCCCTTAGTGGGTCATGAGGCTTGAACTCTGGGCCTGGGCACTGTTCCTGAGCTCAGAGAGAATGCTCTACCACTTGAGCCACAGAGCCACTTCCAGTTTTCTGGTGGTTAATTGGAGATAAGAGTCTCATGACTTTTCTGCCCGAGGTGGCTTTGATCTGTGATCCTCAAATCTCAGCCTTCTGAGTAGCTAGGATTACAGGCAGGAGCTACCAGCACCTGGCTCAGTGAGACTTTTATCTCCAGTAAACTACAAAAAAGCCAGAAGTGAAGCTGTGGCTCAAAGAAGCTCAGGGACAGTATCCAGGCCCTGAGTTCAAGTCCCAGGACTCACTCACACACTTCCATTACCACCACCCAAAACAGAAATGTTTCATTTTCTCTATCTGGATGACAGCAAGAATTTGAAAATATCACAAACATTTAAGAATTCTAAACCTGTTATACAACTCTTCTTTATTGTAGGCCTCTTCCATGCTGCAGCTTGCTTTTTGTTTCCCAAACTATACAGTGGATTAATGGTTTGGTTTTCCAGACATCTGCCACCGGTAGAAGAAAATAGCATTTTTCATATATTTTCCTTTTGTTTGTATATCAAGGGTCTTATTGGGGAAATGTAAAGTTTATGTTCAAAAAGTAAAACGGTTTTATTAGAGATTTCAATAGTCTATTAGATTAAAATCACAAAAGATTTTTGAAAGAAAATTGATTTCCATACTGAAATCCACCTTCCTTGAGTAGGTACTCACATTACATAGCATTAAGAAGATGCTGGGAAAATCATGAGTTATTTATTTCATGTCAACTCAGGTAATACTTTGGTGATCAGTTCAAAATTGTCCACTTGATGCAATTGTTAAACTTGATTGAATAGACATCTAGGAGATTAATAATACAAATGTCTTATTAAATGTGCCTGTGAAGGCTTTCCAGAGATGACTGGCATGTGGGTCAGAAACTAGGGGGGTGGGAAAACCCACTCAGAATGTGAACATCACCATCCAATAAGCTCGGAGCCTGGATGGAACAAAAGCAGAAGGAAGCCAGTCAGTGTGCGCATGCTCCCTTCCTGCGTGGGTGTGTCTGTCAATGCTTCCGTTGCCTGTGGACATCAGACTCCAGCTTCTTCAACTCTTCACCTCGCATTATCAACTTTCCAAAGCAATTCCTGACTTTCAGCCTTGGGCTGGGCTGCATCATTGGTCATAGTCTGAGAGTCCTATCTTCTTGAACTAAACAGGTGCTATGTTTTCCATCTCTCCATCCAGCAGACAGCCACTGTGTAACTGTATGATCTTTTTTTTTTTTTGGGGGTCCGGTCGTGGGGCCTGAACTCTAGGCTTGGGCGCTGTCCCTCAGCTCTTCAGCTCAAGGCTAGCACTCTACCACTTGAGCCACAGCACCACTTCTGGCTTTTTTCTTTTTGCTTATGTGGTGCTGAGGAATTGAACCCAGGGCCTCATGCATGCAAGGCAAGTGCTCTACCACTGAGCCACCTTCAGAGACCCTATAATCTTTGATTATGTAAGTCAAGATAATAAATCCCCTTTTAGAACTGCTTTTTATAAATCCCCTTTATTATATATAAACATACACACTAAATAATCACTTCAGACTTTCTTGTCTACTTTATAAAATATCAAATATATCACATAGTTAGAATAAATCCATGTAACCAGTACCTAAAATAAGAACAGAAATGCAGGCCCATATACATTCTCTCCATTCAAAACTCTATTTGCCCCTAGAGGGAACTACCATGATAATAGTTCAGAGGGAACTACACTGATCCATCTAGGATCCATCTTTGTGTTCTTTATAGTTCTAAATTATGTCTATGTATCTCTAAGAAATAGTTTCAATTGATTTTGTTTTAAAGACCAAAATCATTCTAGACAATTTTTCATAACTTTTTCCTTTTGCTCAATATTGTATCTGTCCTCTGTAACCTTCCCTTATAGCTATCTGTAGCTTGCTTATTCTCTTTGTTGTACATAATAGCATTGTATGAACATATGAGGATATATTTATTAGATTGTTGATAGATGTTTGGGACTGTTCATAAAGGCCTTTGAATAGGAACAGTCCCATTGTGAACATTTGTGCCCCTGTCTTCTTTAGTTATGAACCTGGAACAGTAGTTTTAGGTTGTAGGCTCTGTACGCCTTTGTTTCTATTGGGAAAAATATGTAATTTCTAAAGTAGTTGGACCAAGTGACATTCCTGTCAACATTCTGTTGCCAACTGTCTACTCTATAGACAATAAATACCTTTGACATTAGAAGGGTAAAAATGCCATTTATTTCCGCTTTCTTTGGTTGCCAGATATTCAGATGTTTAAAGGTATTTTTCTAAAGAAGATGGGTGTGCTTGTGTATACCCGTCACCCCAGGTATAAAGGAGGTTTAAGTAAGAAGGAGAGTGGATCCAGCTGGCCTAGACCCTGCCTGAAAATTACAGTGAGGGGAAAAAAGGTCAGGGAGAGCCTGGGACATCTCTCAAGTGGCATCTAGCCAGTACAAGGGCAAGAGTTCACACTGAGCATTACCAAATATATATGTATGTGTATTTTTTCCATAAGGCACTAGAAGGGATATTTGTGTCTCTTATTTTGTCCTATTATATATAGATGGTTTATTCAGTAATATGCCCTGAAGTTTCAAATAGAAAAATTTGTCAATTAAGGTAAGATAAAGACCCATTTGACTAAATGTCAAATGGGGGCTTGAGGGAGGATTGTAGACTTCTCAATTATTCTATTTTGAAGTGCATCAGTAGATTCATGCCTGAAAGTTCATAAGTAATGAGAAAGTGAATATCAGGATGTGCAGATGGCTGGGAGTTATTTTCCAAGCAGCCTCTTACGCAGCCCCTGCCCTCCAGAAGCTTACAGTAGAGCTGAGAAAGTATTATGGAAATAGTGGGAAATGGTGACTGCCATCCACATCGTGTTCCTAATAGGGTGAATTTGACACTGACTTTGATTTTTCAGTGTGATTTGAAATACATTCCATACAGGTGTCCCTCCTCCCCTGCCATGCCAGAATAATTTATATAGACATATAAAGAGAGGCTTAAAATGTTTATAAAGATTCCTATAAACAAGCTGGGCGCTGGTGGCTCACGCCTGTAATCCTAGCTACTCAAGAGGCTGAGATTTGAGGATTGCGGTTCAAAACCAGCCCGGGCAGGAAAGTCCATGAGACTCTTATCTCCAATAAACCACCAGAAAACCGGAAGTGGCACTGTGGCTCAAGTGGTAGAGTGCTCACCTTGAGCTGAAGAGCTGAGGGACAGCAGAGTTCAAGCCCTATGACTATCCAAAAGAAAAAACAAACAAACAAACTCATAAGCAAACATGTTGGGTGGTATGAACTGGAATATAGTAGATGTAAGGGAGAACTCAGTGTAATTCTTTAGAAAGGCAAAGTTAAAGCCCAACAAAATAAGCCGCAGGAAAGGATACTTGCAAAGGGGAGCGGGAGGCAAGGGGCAAGGGATAGACCTCTGAAGTGGGGGAGCATGCCATGTATATACCACAAAGTTAAGAAAAGTAAGGGAAGGGGCGGGTGGGGATGTTGAAAGGGGTGACACAGGTCAAGATGCATTGTTTCCATAAACGGCTTTGTTAAAGGGCAACTTCGTTTGTATAACTATTAAAGATAATTTTTTTAAAATTCCTGCTGCACGGTTGATCCATAGCTCCTCTCTCCTCTTTTTTTTGTTTTCATTGTGTTTATATCTAAACACAATGTCTACTTCCCACTTGCCCGCCAAGGCATTAAAGTAGGAGATACCTTTACCATGATGTGAGCTATTTTCATTAATTCAGAAACTCAAGTGTCCCAACTCATCTACCGAGTTTTCCCCACGCTCCAAGAGAAAAAGACTAACATACCGCTCTCTGAAAACGACCCAGTGATTAAATAATTAGCACACGGATCCACTGTTATTTGCAATAACGCACATGGTTGTAAATCATCGCTATCAACGTATTCACTGCCATACATAATTGCGACTAGGAACTGCTCTAAGGCCAAGTCCTGTTTTCACAAGGACCTGAGTTCAGGGCTGCAGACGCGGGCTCTTTTGTGCAGTTCCACCCCGCACCACAGGGGGCAGAGTAACTCTTTCTCGCTCGCGGTTTTCCGCTTTGCGTCAGTCTCTGTCAGAACCAACCAAGTCCGTGCGACGGGGGGAGGAGACCCTGCCATAGGGCCGACCCAAGCCTGCTTCTCAAGCCAGCCTCCCCTCCAGATCACCAGGGACTTTGCACCCACACTGCGCGAGTGCAAGCAGTGGTGGCTGGTGACTAGAACAGTCTCCCAGCTCGTATGTCTCGAAGGTCTGGAATTTTCGCTCCCCCCCGTGGTTGGGCGCGGAATGGTACATTCCGGCCGCCGGGCTCCCCCGGAAGCCGCCGCGGCCGGGGACGCCCAGTGCCAGCCCGAGGGGCCGGGGCTGGCGGCGTCCTCGTGGTTCTGTGTGGTTGTGGTTCTTCCGTCGTCGTGCATGGGTCTCCATGGTGACGGCAGGGCCCGGACCCGGGGACCGGCAGCCCGAGTGGGGCCGCGGGGTTCCGGGGGCCTCCGCGGCGGCGTGGCCGTGTTCGCCGCCGTGGCCGCCGTGTTCACGCTCACGCTGCCCCCCTCGGTGCCGGGGGGAGACTCGGGTAAAGTACTCTCGGGTCGCCCCGCCGTCCCTGGCCCCTGCGCCGCGCGATCGCCGTGCTGGGCGGGGGTGGGGGGGTGGGGGGGGCCCTGCTCCCGCCGCGGGGTCCGGCCTCCCGCCATCCAGCGGGGCTGTGCCCCCCTCCGGCACCTCTGGCTGCGGGGTCGGGGAGGTGGGTGGGTGTCGCCTGTCCGGCGTGAACGACCATCTCTCCCCACACCGGCCCCGAGGGCACCGTGTTTTCCCACCGGAGCAATACAGACAGTGGCGGGGCGTTGTCTTGGAAGAGGGGCTCCGAGCGGACACACGCGGGATCGAATCCACCCCTACGTGCTGGGGCTGGAGCCTTTCCGCTCCGAGGCTGGCGCGCTCCCGCCTGCGCCACAGCTCCACGTGTGGCTTTTTGCGGGTTTACTGGCAGCCCAGAGGCCTCACTGACTTTTCTGCCCGGGCTGGCTTCGAACCGCGATCTTCGGACCTCAGCCTCCTGGGTTAGCAACAGCTGTGTGTGTCCAGTTGAGTTGAGTGAACGGAGGCCGTGAGAGAGGGAAGCGAGATTCAGAAAGGTCAGGAAAGGTTTCCCGAGAGGGTGTGGTCAGAGGAAGCCTGGATCTCCCGGAGGACCCAGCCAGGCCCCCTTCTCTGGAGGAGAACGCTTTAAAAAGCGGCCGCCAGAGGCAGTGTCAGGCGTGACTGGAGGGACGTTCAAATCCCACGGATCATTTCCCTAGTTGACACCACCGGCTAGTTCCTGGGTTTGTTTCACTCCGGGATTAAGTAGCCGCTAATTTTGTGCGGAATGGTGTGATTGCTTCAGGCCTGAATCTACGTCCTAAAGATGAACCATCTTTGGACGCAGACAAGGCTAACCTACGTGTAGTGACTGAAGCACAGGGTGTGTAGACCAGAAATGTGGGTTCAGTTACTACTACTTGGGGGCAAGATGGCCGTGGGCCGGGGGCTGAAGTTCCAACAGCCTCAGTTTGGGGAGCCTTTGATCTAAACTCAGGCTAGTCCTTTGCGCTGTGGGCCTTATCATAACATAAGGGAGCTGACGTCTGTCAAGAGAGAGGTAGGGCTTCGCTGTGACACTTCTGTCACTTTGTAACTTAATCCTGGAAGTGATCCGCCACGGCCCTATTTGTGGGAGTAAGTCCAGCTCACAATGAAGGGAGGCAAGGATTACACAGGTAAGGATCAGAGGGGTTGGGATTATTGGGAACTGCCTGCCACACTGACAATCTTTGATTCTCCTGTCTTCAAGTCATCACCTTTCCTCTTCCTTTCAGCTCCTATAAAAACCAGTAAGGGTAATTAGTATAGTAGGAGATGGCATTACAGGCCTTCCAAGATTAGTACCAATGATGGGAGCAGCTGTATGATTTCAAGTCCTTGGACATTAGAGTGCATTACTCTGGCACTTATTTAAAATATTTATAGCTACTTAGGGTTATTTGAGCCTGAAAGACAAGGGAGGAGTGACTAATAATAAACTAACATTTATTGTGCACTTACTATTTGTCAGGCACTATTCCAAGTGCTTTTTATGGGTTTTTAGCTCTCCCAGCTAATTTACCAGGTAGGTATCATTATTATCTTCCTTGTAGATGAGAGATTGCCAAGACTTAAATTACGTGCACAGCCAAAGCTAGTAAGTAAGGGCTGCCAGGAAAAGAACCCAGATAAGTTGACTCTAGAACATGCCTTTTTTGTTCAGCAATATTGGAGTCTGGACTCAAGGCCTTGCGCTTGTTAAGCAGGTGCTCTTATCACTGAGCCACATTCTCAGTCCTTTCTACTTAGGAATCTTTCAGGTAGGGTCTCACATTTCCACTGGGGCTAGCCTCACACACCTCCTGCTATGGAAGTCCTTTTGCTTCAGCTAAGATTCTAAGAACACCATGCCACATACACTTTGTTTAAAATGGAATCTTGCTAATTTTTTGTCTGGAATGGCATCAAACTATGAACCTCTTAATCTTTGCCTTCACAATAGTTAACATTATAAGCATGAGCCACCACATCTAACTTAGAGCCCTTCTTCCCTCCCTTCCCTCCCTGCCTTCCTCCCTGCCTCCCTCCCTCCCTCCCTCCTTGCCTGCCTGCCTGCCTGCCTGCCTCCCTCCCTCCCTCCTTTCCTTCCTCCCTCCCTCCCTCCTTCCCTCCCTCCCTCCCTCCCTCCTTCCCTCTCTCTCCCTCCCTCCCTCCTTCCTTCCTTCCTTCCTGTGCCCCAGTCCTAGACCTTGAACCCTGGGTCTGGGTGCTGTCCCTAAGCTTCTTTTGCTCAGGCTAGCTCTCTACCAAATGAGTGACAGCTCCACTTCTGGCTCTTTCTGTGATTAATTGGAGATAAAGAGTCTCGCAGTCTTTCCTGCTCTGGCTGGCTTCTAACAGTGATTCTCAGATCTCAGACTCCTGAGTAGCTAGGATTATAGGTGTGAGCCACCAGCACCCAGTTTAGAGCATACTTTCTTAATATCTAGTTCTCGTCAATTTTTTTGAAATTCCTTGTTAAATTCACCATCACATGCGCAGTGATATTTAAAGTCTATGTTTAATCTGATGCTAAAAAGTAGTTATTTTTAATGTCTGTATGTTCATTTTAGAGAGTGATTAATAAACCTTTCCAACTATATTCCCATATGGAAAATTTGTTTGGTATTTTGACCACTTTGTTTATATGTTGAGTGTACTGTCCTTGAATGTTTCTGAATTGTACTTTCTATCAATAAACAGAACACAGCTCAAAACCAAAATAAAGCATGTAGTCTTCTTCTTAAGAAGTCAAGCTCTGCACCACAAATCCTTCACATCATGAGTGTGGCATTGCTGTCGCGCTACTTGACATATACAGTTCTTACCTGGGCATCAGTGCTGGGTCTTTTGTGGGGGAGGTGGGACTATAGCCTTCACTAAGTTCCCTATCTGTAGTTCAAAGGCAGTGTTGGTATTTTGTCGATCGTGGGGCTTGAACTCTGGGCTTGGGTGTTGTCCCTATGCTCTTCAGTTCAAGGCTAACACTCTACCACTTGAGCCACAATGCCACTTCCAGTTTTCTAGTGGTTATTGGAGATAAGAGTCTCATGGACTTTCCTGCCTGGGCTGGCTTTGAACCGTGATCCTCAGATCTCAGCCTTCTGAGTAGCTAGGATTACAGGTGTAAGCCACCAGTGCCTGGCAAGGTAGTGTTTTTTAACAGACCAGATCTATGTCAATGTAGTAATATGATTTAGTAAACATACAGAGGGGAGCTGGTTATATAAATTTTAGGAATCTTCAGACAAACTCTTGAGCTCGATGCCAATTTGTATCAAACTTGATACACTACGAAATTGCCTGGGAAACTGAGTCTCAGTGCCAGGATCTTACATTTAGGAACTTTGGGGTTCCAGAGAGGAGTCCTTCCATCAAAAGCAAAATAAGCATAAGTAGCCTTAGGATTTAAGTTTGAGGAAGTCCCTTTGTAGAAAGTTGGGAAAAAGCAAGAACTCAGGAGGACCTGGGTTTGTTTGTTTGTTTTTACTACTTAATCTCTTAAAACTGTTCAGGACACAAAAAGAACCTTGATATCTAAGGTGCTTGTGAATATCTTCAGAAGACTGGAAAAATAACCCTTAATATAAGCAATATGATGTGCCTGGGTGACCCCCCAGGGCTTCTGGAAAGGAAAGTAAGTTTCAGAGTAAGGAGGCTACAGATTTGATGTGTCCTCTTGTCAGCTCTGTGCCAGAGGAAGGACAAGCAGTGATGTCTTGGCTGGATCCTGACAGATAAGAAAATGTCTCTTGAACTTGGTGGAGAGGATTGAAAACAACTAGCTGGACTGTTTTGCAGCAATCTCAGTAAGAGTGAAACAGAGACTTGGGCAGATTCTAGGAAGGAGGAAGAAGTGATTGATTGTGGTGAAATAGGCTGGGAAAGGAGGTGTGTGTGAGGAGAGGTGTCATCAAGAAGGTGGGAAACGTGGCAGCCTGAGAAAACGAGCGATAAGAGAAGTGAAAGGGGTTACTCCAGAAACACTGGACAGTCAGATCTCATGGGGTGAGTGAGCCTCAGTCATACGGATACAAACCTGCCAAAGACACTTGGAAGCTATAGACAGCTTAACTGGTTCGCTGAAAAAAATCTGAATATAATTCAGTAATAGAGCAGCCACTGAGAAATTTCTGGATAGAGTCCAGCCCATTTTCTTTATGGTATGGGCAAGAGAGTGGCAGACACCAGTAACCAACTAAAGGACATTTGTTCGTACTTGCTAGATGCAGGCCAAGGGAGGTAAAGTCCTAGTTAGAGCTGAGACAATAGAAATGAAAACCAGAATGTTAGTACCTATTGAAGGATAGGAAATGTATGTTAGTAATTTTCCCACTAGGGAGTTGTAAGTTTCACAAATCAGTATTGACTGATGTCTTTCATTGTTCTGTTCCATACTATACGGAGATGACTCAAATCATCTCTGTGCTCAGAAAACTTAGAATATTAATAAACGGGAATTGAATTATTACATCGTAGATTTTAAAATAACTACCAGCAGTGAGGAACTTTATACATACAGACTAGAATGATCAAATGGTTGTTAAATGTAAGAGAAATGACTGAACAACCTGGAAGAAGATTGTTTAGAAATGTTGAAATGTAACCTAATTAATGTAGGCCCTAAGTTACCCACATACTAGTTATTAGGGCAGTATGGCACATTTTATGTGGGGGCTGGATCTCAGACCTCTGCAACCTTGTATATCATACGAGTGTGCTAGTATAGACTGTGCTAAATTCTTGAGAGAATATTACATGAATACTTTATTAAAGCATTTTCATGTTTCCAAGTGGCTACAACCTTCAGAAGAGAAGAAATTAGCTTAAAAAAAATGAGTAGTCAAGGTGTATTTCCACTGACCAATTATTGAGACCTATGAAAGATAGGTTTGTTCAAAAAGACCTAAGGGAGGAAGTATTCTTAGACTTATTTCATGCTGTTAAATCTCTACAGATTTACAGTTTTATCCAGTCAAATTAATGCAAAACCCCAATGCAAGCATTTGGATTTTGAAAACTTTGGAGGAGTGTCATTCTCTAATAGTAATTATTGGTTTTACATTATTTTTTCGCAGGGGAACTGATCACAGCCGCACATGAGCTTGGAGTAAGTATTAGTTTTATTGTTTAATCAATGCTCTCATTAGCAGTTTTAGGAATTAAGAAAGTTTAATTAAGCATGGAATAAAGTAGATTAATTTATTTCCAAACCCTAGTTTTTAGTAACTTATAAGTACAGTATGTGACAATTTACTTTAAGTTTTAAATCCAATTAAATGAAATTATAAAGCAAAGCCTTTACTATATATACAGTAGCTGGGCTTATTATCACCCCAAATTTTGTATAAGCCGGAGAGAATAAATCGGGTTAACAGTTTTAATAAGTTTATTATTTAATAAACTTTATTATGATGTATGATCCTTTTAGTCAAGACCTTCCAACTGTCAGCATGGTGAGTAATCCGATATCGGTGTGGTCTTTCAACTTTCTAACCAAGGCAATATTTCAGAACTTGAGTTTTTTTCAATAGCTTTTTAAATGACCCTAATGTACTGTGAACCCAGAGAACAAACTGTTTAAGAACTGACAATGGAATATGTCATTCTCTAAGTGATGCACCATGAGGTAGACACTGTCAAATCCACGGAAGAAAATATTTACTTGTATTGGCACAAAAGGATTACAATAGGAAACCACTATTCAAACATTTAGTCAATGGTGCTTTATCTTACTTCTTGCTTTAGAAAAGGGCCTTTTTTCCACTGATGCCAGCGTGACTCTTCTTTTCCAGTGAAAACTTAGCTTTTGCCCATTTTTCCATAGGTTGCCCATCCTCCTGGCTATCCGTTGTTCACCTTGGTGGCTAAACTGGCGATGATACTGTTTCCTTTTGGTTCTATTGCCTACCGAGTCAACCTTCTCTGTGGCTTATTTGGAGCAGTAGCTGCATCGTTACTGTTTTTCACCGTTTTCAGGTAAAGTAGTTGATGAATTAAAACTAATTTTGAGTAATTTTTGGCCAACTGCATACATTTTTAAAATAAAAAAAGAAGAAGAAGAAGAAAGACCTCTGTGTGTTGCCTGAGTGGTTTCTCTAACTTTTGTGATGTCACTCCCTTAATTTGCAGTAATTTCATATGCATTCAACCCCTCAGATGGTTCCCCAGTTGGTTCTGCTTTGTACAATGGAGTGAAGGTGTCACCAGTTCATTCTCACAGTTCTCTGGTTAGGCAGAACTAATGAGGTTTGTCATTTCATGGAGATGCAGATGGGCCAGTTTAATTCAGCAATATAAAAGCTCATCTTTTAGTAAATGGTAAAAATCTTTTAATTACTCACAGCATTGCTGATGGACAGCTGCCTATGAAGCTGGGCCTAATGTCTAATTATATTGTATTCTAAATATGACCACCTTGGCTCCTTTTTAAAAATGAGGTTGTGAGCCAAGAAAAACCACATTTGGGATGTGGTTTTAGTGAGGTTCCACTTTGAAATCTTGTAGCTTTAAGGAAGACTCCAGCCTTTCTTAGTGCAGAAGCTTCCAGCTTTTCAGTGGTCATTGGTTGAATACATTAATGAACTCATTTGTCTACGAGGTTTATCTCCATCTCAAAATGTAGTCAAATCTAATATAATGTTTAAGAGGATCATAATGGAAAATACAAATTACATTTGATGATGGAGAGGACAAAACACTAAAAACACTCCTTGCAAAAATTTTTGCAAGTGTTTTAATAAAAAATAATTTTAATGTAATTAAGTAAAACTTGAGTAGACAGAATTTCACATGTTAGTTTGGGGGACTAATATTTTATAATAGTCATAATATTGCCCTTGAGCTAAATTTTTTCTAAATTCTGTTTGTGTTATTTAAAAACAGGCAAAAGTTAACAAAAGTGTAACTCTGAAATTTACTTTTAGACCTATTTGTTGATTGTAATTGTTGATCATTTGCTAAATGTATGTGCGTTATTTAATTTGCTTATATTTAATCTTACACATTTTCAGTGACAGCTGAATCTTTAAGTATGAAATATTTAAAGTAACGTTGCTGCATGGGTTGATTAGGGTTATGAATACATTCCTTTTCTAAATGGCTACAATGATTTTGATCAGAATTATTTTTCCTGAATCTTTTATAATTATGAATCTGCTAGTATTATTTCATTGAAAAAACTTGCTCCTCATATTTTTAAGCATCTGGGTTGAAATTTTAACCTATTTTTTATTGAATATATTCACAAGACATTTTAAGGCAGACATTTATTTATTTATTGTAAAGGTGATGTACAGCAGGGTTACAAATACATAAGTCAGATAATGAGTACATTTCTTTTAGGCAGACATTTAATAAAACTAATTTATTTATTTTATATTCCATCTTCACTTTAAAAATATTTTTCTATAGCACATATATATTTAAATGTTATGCAGATACAAATATTCTTAGTTAAATAAAGTGACTCATTTTTTAAAACTTGTTTGTCAAAATTTTGTTATGCCATTCTACATGAGAACCACTGTAAAAATATTATGTTAAAATGTTTTCAGAATCCAGATAACTTTGGACAATATTTTTTTGTGTGTTATCCACATTGAAAAGTAGCTTTGGTTAATTATTGTGCTTGATTACGTGAATTTTAGATAAGCCTGTGACCCTTTTCTTTTGATATACAGCATTGATGATAAATTTTTATACTTGCTCTCATGTTTTTAAATCAAAACTCTTAATACTACTCTACTGTCTATTTGAGTGGTTTTAGTAATGCAGTACTTGGGAAAGTTGCTTTATTTCCAAAACAGGAACTAACAATATTATCGCTTACATACATTTTAATATGAAAATGTTTCATCATTTTGAATACAAATAACTGACAAGGTACATGTCCTTTGGGAACAACCCAGTTCAAGTGGCAAATCTGTTTTGTCAAACAATAGACACCCTTCAGAAAGGAGAAGCCATCTCTATGGTAATCGGACTAACAGTAGCCTATTGATTGAGTGGAAGAAGACATTATACAATGTCAGCTGGCTTGTTACAATTTCATTTGTTGTATGACCTAAACTTAACCTCTAAACCCTTTCTTCTGTGAATATAAACCCAACAGCAGGACACAGTTTGTGTACAGCCATTACAGTGATGGCTTTTTTCCAGTCCTAGCATCCAGTAAATATATTCCAATCCAGGTTGACTCCTTTCTCTGAATTTATTTAGGAGACATTTCACTACTTTATTCATTTACAGACCAAATCATCATTCCATTGTTGGATGTTAAAGAGTTTGTATCCAAGAAGCAGTTTGATTCTTTCTTTCTCCCATCACTTGAGAGAACATTACTGTACATGTGGGATTAGTGCTGACTGGTGTGCAGCAAATTAATTCTTTTAACAGGTTTAGTTTTTTTTTTCCAGGTAATTGTGCACATAGCATTCACTATATTTAGCTCTTGGGGTGGACGTAAAGACCTTCTGTACCTTTTAAACAAAGATTGTATTTCAAAAGCAAATTTCTGTTTAAATGTGTTGATGTAAAAGCTCCATTTTTTTTCAGTAAACATGACTTAGATTGAAAGAACAATTTATTCATTTCTCCCAATTACTATGTAATTTTTGCTTTTTCTTGCATCTTTCTCTTGCTTTTAAAAGCCATAAGATGTCATTAACACTGCATTTTTTGTCAATCTTTGCTAATGGTTGGCAAGAACTCATTTATATTTGCTTTGCCCTAATGTAGAAAGCGTATGAGTAAAACAGCACATTGAAAAAGCTAGATGTGTCACTATAGCTTATTGAATTAAGAATAGTAAGATTGTGGCAGTTTCTGTATTTATTTATGTCTTGGGTTAGAGGAGTTTAATACATTTCATTTATATGAAATAATCCTCCATTTAATTAATCTGTAGATCTGTATATTTGAAGAAATGTAATAAAGTTACTGTTTTATGGGAGCTGGGATTTTTCTCTTTCAAGGCCAGTTTTAAATTTGACAGTATGGTAAGTCCTATTTATAATTCACAAATCCCATTAATATAAAAAATTTAAAACTTACAGATAATGAGAATCACAAACATGAGCATCATTTAACTTTGCTTAATATTTGAATTTCAACATTATTTTTTAGGAAGTATCAGACTAGGTTACATGCAGTGAATTCAGGAGGGGTATTAGAGCCACTGTCAGCAAACAAGTTCATTTTATATGTGCCAAGTAGCCAGAAATGTGATGGTGTGACATTGGTTTCCCTTATTTGCAATATCTAGTATATGTATGAGTCAAGCGGAAAAGGTCAGATAATGTGATGTCAGGAAAATGAACCTTTAGATATGTATTTTAATGTTTTTTTCTTTCATGCATGTGTTTCTAACACATTTATAAGATTATCTCTTTGTTGCTTTGTATGTCCCTCCCCCACAATATAACCCCTGCTTTCACTATATTTGATGTCAGTATAACTTGTGGAGGAGATGGGGAAAAACCAGTTGTTTAAGGATACAGGTGGACCTGTTGCAACAATGAGAAGTACAAGTTGTCATGTCCAAAACGAGCTTTACAACGTCGGTGCGGTGGGGGGGAGGGGGAAAAAAAAAAAAGAATACTGTACCTCAGGGAAGGTCCAGCTTGCTTATGACCTCAAATGAAGACGTAAGTTGTATCACTTTATGCTGGCAGTGAGAGAGCAGGCACTAAATCCTCAACAGGCTTGAGAATCAGCAAACTATTATTTATTTTTATTTCAAACTATTAGTAACATGGAACTGTAGAAAAATTTACCAACAGCGTTTGTTGAGCCATCATGTGAGTTGAAAATAAAACTTGTAGTTTTATGATCAAAATTCAGTGTTTATTTTAAAGAGAGTAAGACAAAGTAACCATTAAGTGAGTGGCTTTTCAGGTATTTTCTTCAAAAGGCACCATTTCCAGAGCTTAAATTAAAAAACAAACAAACAACAACTTAACACCATTAGCATTGTACAGAAGGAAATCAGACCTGTTCATGTCAAGGAGTTACCTAGAATACATGAATATTAATAATAGTCAAGGCTATATTAAAACTATGCCTGCTTACTACCAAGAACTTACAGTCAATTTCAGTAATACTTAAGTATCTTCTGGCAAGTTACTTTGTACCTATATCATATGCATGGAATTTTTGTCATTTCTATGTTAGGTATTTCTTAAGGTATTGCTGCTAGAAATTAATTTGATTATAGTTTTGGAAAGCAATACTTGATTCCTGAACATTGTATCTGCTATTTCTACAGCTTCTGTTACGATTCTATTCAGTAAAGAATAGAATATTAAAATGCCATATACCTTAGAGAATGCAGAATCTCCTGCTTAAGAGACATTTGGATTTTCCAGCTCAAGGAGTATTTTTAGATTATTGCCAGAGAGAATAATGTAAAGTGCTTCCTAATTTTGAAGTAACGATGCATAAGTAACAAATAGTCTCCAAGTTGGTGTGTGTGTGTGTGTGTGTGTGTGTGTGTGTGTGTGTGTGTGTGTGGAAAAGAATAGAAAGTACTGGAGCATTAATTTCCATTCAAGAGAATATCTGTCTTGATCCCTGGTTAATTGATCATATATTTCTTTCATACTTGTATTAAAATTGCATTGACTCAGCTTGGTTAAGCATATTAAGAGCCTGGTTCATTTGCATTTTCTTATAAGTAGGGGGACATATTAGGCTCATATACAGCACTTAATTTTGAAGGGAGAAAAGCAGGGCAGAAACTCTTAAGACTGTAGAGTTTTTTTCTGACAGCTAGTCAGAGTTAGAATTAGTTCAAGGAAATGTTAATAATGCACTGCCTGGCCTAATCCCTTTGATATCACCAGGTATCCTCCTGTTCATGGGTTAATTGCTTTAAAAGCGAAGGCAATATTCTGAGCGGTGGGCCGCTTCACCTTTTCACAGCTGTTACCATTGAGTGACAACTAAATCCCATGTGTAAGATGAGGAAGAGCTCAATC